CATAGCAATAATCCGTTCTTTTTCTCGAGAAATCGGTATTACAGACAATTACACCCCGGCTTTCTTTCGTAAAGGAAAACGTAGCTTCTGTAATCATAAACTGTGTTTGTTGAAACTTTTAGCGACTTCGGAATTTTAGATGTTCTGTCACAAAAGTTGTCTGAAGAACAAGAGTATGTCTCACTGCTGCTTGGAGTTAAGGAGAAAAGTGTAAATCAAGCAAGTAACATGTTCAATAGAAAGGTTTGCAGAGACAAGATCACTGACATCATGGTTGCCACAATGTTAGCAGAAATTCCCGTGGAAATCCAAGAATTAAACATTCATACGATAAATACGAAGACTTTCAGATTGCAGTGATAAAAGCAATACCTGAAGATTATTGCGCAACACAGGGCTACACATTAAACACTACAGGACAAATATGTAGTAAATGAATTTATGCCTTCTTCATACATGAAAATTATGGTAGTTGCCTGAAATAACTTGTATAGCACACAGAAATATACACAGAAAGTATAGCACACCGGATATTTGTAAGGAAGCTGGAATTTTTTTTAAGATTCTGGTGATATTTTCCATTCTTCAAAACAGAAAAGGGCTAATATAAGGGGGCATTTTTACTTACATTTTCAAAAGTGAGTTAGTTTACACCCCTAAAATATGTTATTTTGGGTTTAAAAAGTCAACAGCAGTTATTACATTCAGGTTTTTTAAATTAAACAAATTAATCTAGGTTATTGAAGCTGCTGTTAAGTTGTTATGTAATGTTGACGGCCATTTTAAAAAGCGCCCTCAATTGCCTCCGGGAATCTTCACATTAATAACTTTAGCTAGTTATACTTTATTCCTATTATTACATTCAAAAGTTGGTCAAACCACCCTCTTCTGTGCTTATTTTACCCATATATATGTAGTTTATTGGATTTTGGCGGCCATTTTGAAAAAGTGCCCTCATGCGAAAGTTCTCAGGCTACACCCCTTTTACCTCACATATTCTGATTCCCCATAAAAAACTGGTCTAGAAAAACCATATGAGAATTTCTACCTCTCCAAGTGGCACCTATCTCAGTTATAGCCTGGTCTAAGATATAATATAACCAATACAGTATGTGTAAATTGTTTCACATTCTCAAGGTGTTTATTGATTAAAGTTATGATTGACTTCCCCATCAACTTTTTAATCTTGGGACAGATACACATACATTTTGACGTTTTAGCATTATAAATAATGTCATGTGAGCATCTTCCTCACATATTATATGCGAACTAATTGTAGGAGCCCACTCAAGGATGGGGCGACCAGAACCATATCATAGGCATAGCTAAAATGGTTATATTGTATTGGTCTATAATTATTTACCTGAGATATTATAGTTGTCCAATATTCCGGAAAATCACCGGGGAGTCGACAGACATTAAACAGGCCTGGTCTATAATAACCATAACTATGCTGTCTGTACACGTCGCCGCACTGCCTTGTCATCGAATCAAGATCCTCCAGTAAATATCCACATTCATCCGCTTAAAAATGACATATCAAATTAATTATTACTTTTTTTTCTGTTAAAGAGTATTATTTGTTTTGTTTTTTTTTCTCTAAAAGGCTGAATAACAGAATGCACAATGTACCACCATATCGTGTCATTTAGTTGTTACAACTTGCAAAGATGACTGTAATTAAAAAATATGTTCTTCATTTATTGACTACTGTAATCGACAACAAAATAGATTGCAGCTCATTTATTTTCTAAATATTCTTCTTTCGTTGAGTTGACACCTTTATCTTGTTGAAGATTGTTTGCCACCTTACAACCAATGTTGTTAATTTTACTTTTTTGGATGTATAGTATTTGCCTACTCTAACATTCCTATTAATATACTTTCTCGTACGTTCTTTCCTCAAGTTCGATTTGCAAATTTTAATTTAAATTTTTTAATATAATTGTTATTATATATATACTGTCTCTTATACACATCTAGATGTGTATAAGAGACAGCATGAAGGCAGATCGGAAACAAAAAGATTAAAGAGAATAGGCCCGAGGACAGATCATTGAGGGACTCCAGATAATACAGGCATCCACTCAGAGTGTGTTCCCATAAACTGGGAGTAGGGGTTGTCTCCCGGTGTTCTGCCCAATCACCACCAGAAGGACCCCACTGGAAATAAGTTTTCTTCTAGATTTTCGTGGGCTATCCTTGGTGTTTACACCGAATAAATCCAATCCAATCCAATACATTTATGCAATTCTTGTTTGACAGTTAAAAAGTGATTTTCTCATAATATACAGTATTCACCAAATGACGGTAAGCCAGTAGTGACAAAGCACTAGCACTTAGGTTTCTTTAGAAGCATCCTAAGACAGTTGTTATAACATACTTTCATACATTGCATAGTTTTTTGATTGACTGACCACAAGTTTGAATAATACACATTTATAATAATAAATAATAATAATAATTTATAAAGCGCCAATATCACTAAACCGAAGTAAAATTCAAAGGCGCTGTGCAAGTTCAAAAACTATTAAATAACACACTCTTGGTTTTCCAGAATAGAGATTGAACCACTGACACATAGAGATCTATCACACATTACAACAGCATTGTCTTTTAAAAATCATCAGATAGACCAGGCTATAATTGAGATAGGTGCCACTTGGAGAGGTAGAAATTCTCATATGGTTTTTCTAGACCAGTTTTTTATGGGGAATCAGAATATGTGAGGTAAAAGGGGCGTAACCTGAGAACTTTCGCATGAGGGC